AGAACCAAAGATTATATCATCAACATAAATTTGACAGACTAAGATGTCACTCTTAACTGTTTTACAGAATAGAGTAGTGTCCACTTTCCCTCTGGTGAATTCATTTTCAAGCAGAAAGTTACTTAGCCTTTCATACCAAGCTCTGGGAGCTTGTTTCAGACCATACAGTGACTTTTTCAGTTTGAAAACATGTTCTGGATGTTTTGTATTTTCAAAACCTAGGGGTTGGTGAACATATACTTCTTCTTCTATATAACCATTTAAGAATGCACTTTTGACATCCATCTGATACAGAGTGATGCCTCTATTAACAGCAAATGAGATTAAAAGTCTGATAGATTCTAACCTGGCGACTGGGGCAAAGGTTTCTGTATAGTCTATCCCCTCTTGCTGACTATAACCTTGTGCAACCAGTCGTGCCTTGTTTCTGACGACTTCACCTTGTTCATTAAGCTTGTTTCTGAACACCCATCTTGTTCCAATGACGTTGAATCCTTTTGGTCTTGGAACGAGATCCCATACGTCGTTTCTGGTGAATTGATTCAGCTCTTCTTGCATTGCCAGAATCCAGTCATTGTCCAGAAGTGCTTCATCAATAGAAGAGGGTTCAATCAGAGACACAAGTCCCATCAGAGTTTCTTCAGAGTTTCTGAAGCTTGCTCTTGTTCTGATTGGATCTTCCTTTCTTCCTAGGATAGTCTCTTCTGGGTGATCCAAACTGCTTCTGGGTAATCTCTTCTGAGGTTGATCAGCAGTTGTAGGATTTCTAGCATTGCTTCTTTCAGACGTTGAAGGAATGTCTGTGTTGAGAGCTTCTGATGACTTGTCTTCAGAACCTGCAAATTCAATTTCTATACCTGCAAGATTTTCATTCTGCTTTGACTTTTCAGAGTCAAGCTTGTCATCAAAACAAACACTGATTGATTCTTCCACAATCTGTGTTTCTGTATTGTATACTCTGTACCCTCTTGAGCGTTCAGAGTATCCTAACATGATACACTTCTGTGCCTTAGAATCAAACTTGTTCAAATAATTCTTAGTGTTTAACATATAGCAAGTACATCCAAATGGATGAAAATACGAAATGTTGGGCTTTCTGTTCTTCCACAATTCATATGGAGTCTTTTCCAGAATAGGTCTTATTGAGATTCTATTCTGAATGTAGCACGCTGTGTTTATTGCCTCTGCCCAGAAAGTCTTAGCAACGTTTGTCTCGTTGATCATGGTTCTGGCCATTTCTTGCAATGTTCTGTTCTTTCGTTCTACAACTCCATTTTGTTGGGGAGTTCTAGGACAAGAGAAATCATGCAGAATGCCTTTGTCATTAAAGAATGACTCAAAATCTTTATTTTCAAATTCTCCACCATGATCACTTCTGACTTTAACGATTCTAAGATCTTTTTCATTCTGAACTTGGTTACAGAAGGTAACAAACACAGAGTGTGACTCGTCCTTGTGTCTTAAGAACTTTACCCATGTCCATCTGCTATAGTCATCTACGATTACTAACCCATACTTCTTGCCACTGACAGAAGCAGTCTTAACTGGTCCAAATAAGTTAATGTGCAGAAGTTCTAATGGCTTAGAGGTAGAAACAACATTTTTGGATTTAAAAGAAGGTTTTGCAAATTTGCCTTTCTGACATGCTTCACACAGAGCATCTGAATTGAACTTCAAATTTGGAAGTCCTCTGACCAGATTGAGTTTGTTAATCTGAGATATTCTTCTCATACTAACATGCCCCAATCTTCTGTGCCAGATCCACTGCTCGTTGTTAACAGACAGAAGACATTTTACGTTCTGACTCTTTAGTTCAGAAAGTTTGATTTTGTAAATGTTGTTTTTCCTCTTACCATTAAATAGGATAGTCCCATCTTTCTGACTAACAGCTTTACATGATTTTTGATTAAAGATTATATCATAACCGTTATCACTTAATTGACTTATGGATAACAGGTTATGCATCAATCCATCAACAAGCAGAACATTATTAATAGAGGGAAGATTTCCGTTACCTACAGTTCCAGAGCCAATTATCTTTCCCTTCTGATTGCCTCCAAAGCCCACGTGGCCTCCAGGCTTAAGTTCCAGGCTTTGGAACATATGCCTTCTTCCCGTCATGTGTCGTGAGCAGCCAGAGTCCAGGTACCATGACTGGTGTTTCTGACTTGCTGCTAAAGATATCTCTTCTGTGTCTGATTCTGAGTCTGAGTCAGAAGCTTCACTGTCATCTGGAATGTTAGCCATGAGCGCTATGTTCGCCCTTTCATCATCTGATTCTGAGTCAGCTTCAGACGAGTCAGAGTCATCCCATGTGGCCATGAGACTTTTCTTCTTCTCTCTTCCAAACTTCTTTTTGGGCTTTTCCCTCTGAAGCTTTGGACAGTTACTCTTGTAGTGTCCTTGCTCATTGCACTCGTAGCAGATGATGTCTTTTGTATTTGGCTTCTTGCTACCGGAGGAGCCTTCAGATCTTCTGTATCCAGAGGAAGAATCTGTCCTTCTGTATCTGGAAGAAGACTCGTTCTGATCAGATCTTCTGGGATTCCTGAACTTCCTTTGTCTTTGCTTCCACAGTTGATTTACTCTTCTGGAGAGAAGGGAAAGTTCGTCTTCTTCTGATGAGGATCCATCAGATGTTTCTTCAACTGCCTGCAAAACTTTAGATTCAGATTTTCTGTTAGATTTTAAAGCTATAGGCTTACCTTGCTTCTGAGGCTCGTCAGCTTCCAGCTCTATCTCATGACTTCTGAGGGAGCTTATAAGTTCCTCCAGAGTGATTTTGTTGAGATCTTTCGCCAGCTTCAGAGCAGTAACCATAGGCCTCCACTGCTTGGGTAAACTTCTGATTATCTTCTTGACATGGTCAGCAGTAGAGTATCCTTTGTCCAGAACTTTGAGACCAGCTACCAGAATCTGGAATCTAGAGAACATAGTTTCAATGGATTCAGATTCTTCCATTTTAAACGCCTCATACTTCTGAATGAGCGCCAGAGCTTTTGTTTCTTTGACTTGAACGTTGCCCTCATGCGTCATTCTGAGAGAATCAAAGATGTTCTTAGCTGTGTCTCTGTTGGAGATCTTCTCATACTCAGTATAGGAGATGGCACTGAGGAGGATGGTTCTGGCCTTATGGTGATTCTTGAAATCACGCTTTTGTTGATCAGTCATTGATTTTCTTTCAATCTTCTGACCAGTTGCATTCACAGGGTGCGTGTATCCATCTGTCACCATATCCCACAGATCAGCATCATGTGCTAGAAAGAAGCTTTCAATTCTGTCTTTCCAGTAATCAAAATTTTCTCCATCAAAGACTGGAGGTTTGCCGCTGAATCTGTCTCTGTCCTCATTGGTGTCATTGCTGAAATGAGAGTTGTTTCCTGCCATTGTGTTTTTCTGACGCTGGATCTTGTACTGACACGGTTAAGTGTTTTAGCTCAGAACCAGGCGCTCTGATGCCAATTGAAGGGGTGAAAAACACAAGAAGGGGGGTTGAATTGTAAAACTGGAAACTTAAAGCAATTGACAAGATATTTTTATCCTGGTTCGTTTGAACTCAAACTACTCCAGTCCACCCGTCAAGGTGATTTCGCCTCTCTCCAACGAGGTCTTAATTCACTATATTCAACTGAATACAAATCTGCTTTAGCAACTGCTAAAACCTTCTTGATTCAAACCACAATCCGATTTGTCAAGGCAACACTTTCTTACAAAGGTATAAAATAATGTGTGTGAATGTTTTCTACAAAACAATATCACAACTGTGATGTTTACACAAATGAAGCTTAGAAACTTAGAATGCTAAACACTAATGAAGTATCAGAGTTTGTTGGTTTAGCAAAACTGGTAGATGAAGATTATTGATCAGCTTTGTGCGTGTAGAGAGTTTGGAAGCATTAGCCGTGATAATCTTCGAAGCTTGGTTTATATAGCATTTGAGAAGATGAACGTTGAAGCAAATATTCTTGATTCAATGCTAATAACAAGCTTTCCTTTTTGAGCAGATCTTGTCTGGAATGAGGCCGTTGGAATTGATTAGCGTTCAATGCACAGTACCGTTGCTTCTTCAATGCACGATCTGGCTTGGCTCATTCTGATTCTGCTTCGCTGCTGATGAACTATTTGATTCTGTATCAGAGTGTTTTACGCGCAGTTCTGTTCATCAAGCTTCAGCATGTGCAAGCGTTGATCATCTGATCTTGACGTTCTGATTCAGCAACTTCTGATGCTGGTGTATGAAATCATATTCTGATGCTGAGAACGTGATCTTGCTTATTTTAATCAGCATATCTGCAAATCAGAGCATAGTAATTTTAGGCAGCATATAATTCAATCATGAAATATTTAACTACTATATCTTTTCACTTTGTTATCATCAAAACTTAAATATAGGGTACTAGATTCAAACATTGTTCTAACAGAGTCTGCAATCGAACTTGCTTGACTCTATCGGCTCCTTTGAAATCCTTTTCTAGCGTGTCCCACACCTCCTTCGACGTAGTCGAACCAACAATCTTTTCGAAAACTGATTCGTCGACTGCTCTGAACAGCATGTATAATGTTGTTTTATCCTTTGCTCACGTTTCTTTCAACGCCTTGTTCTGAGCAGCTGTGTTTGTCGTCGTATTTGGTGGTTCTTCAAACCCATCGTTAGTTACTTCCCATACATCTAACGATCCCAGCAACGCCTTCATCTGGATATTCCAGTTCTCATAATTCGACTTTGATAATCGTGGCAGTGGCATTTGACCCATCATATTTGTCATGCGCTCTGATACCAATTTGAAGAAATTGAAGAGAAAATTGGGAGTGGACTTTAAACTGCTTTCTTTATAAAATGTCCAACTAACTTTTAATATGAGTACAAAGTGATTTATATAGAAAATCACAAGATAGAATAATAAAAGTTACAACATTAACTATTTCTAGGTCCCTAAGGAATAAACTTTCCACTGCCCAAATAAAATCTGCCTTTTGCACTACCCAAGACATATTTGAATTTAACCAACAATTCTTTCTGGATCCACTAGTGATGAACTCCACGACTTAACCTCTTTTAACCACTGCCCTAACCAGTTCCGTCCACCCTCCAATAAAGCTTTCATCTCTCCTTTGACTAGATCTTCAAGAAGGCACACATTTGCTCCCAAAGGTGTTACCTTGACTGGGAAAAAACCTTCTGCATGGAAGATTTATTGGAGGCTATAAGTTTGCTCTGGGTTCTCTACCACTCCTATATAAGCTTTTCAGAATCTTTCTAGTTCTTCCTCCGAAGAGGTGAAATTCAAGTGGATCACTTGTTTGTCACACTTTATCTGGCTATGGTTCCTTGTTACGAACGAGCACCGTTCCTTCCTCCAGTTTCTCCCTCAAACAAAGTTTCTGCCTTCTTCTTTCCATGGAACGAGCCTCCCCTTGGCACCCTCTCTTCAAACTTACTCCCTTCTCCTTCTACCTCTTATATCTCTTTTTGCTGAGATAATCACTTCGTCAATGTCGCCTACCTCCTTAAGAAACTGATACAAATCCCTGGCCCTGAACTTTTCAGCAAACTCTGTAATGAAAAACGAAGACGATTTTGCCTCTCCCTTGCTGGTTCCTGTTGATGCCCTTTGTTTCCTTCTTTTACTGTTGTAAACTACCTTGGTCCAGACTTCTTCACCGTTGGCTTTCTCCATGCATGCAATCTTCTAAAACTCTCAGCTTTGAAACACAAAGAGTCTATACCACTCTTCTTTTTCTCCAGAAATCATGGACAACAATTCACATTTCTCCACCTTATCGTTCTTTTCTTATGAAGATCAATATCCTATGAGAAGTAAGCTTGAGAACTTGTATTCAAAATACTTTATTGTTTCATTATTGCTTTTATTTTTTAAACTAAAATATATTTTTATGTTGTGTATTAATATTTATGAGCATGTAAAAAATTTAAAAATGATTATTTTATTCATTAGTAATTATAATTATTGCATCAAATTTTTTTTAGTTTTATAAATTAATTATACTCATAAATACTCCAAAATCTGTTAAAATTTTGATTAACCAATATCTATACAACAGTAACAAAAGGAGTGACATTTTTATTGAATCATTTACATATATTGGGACTTCCAAGATAGGGAAAGCCAATTCTCAGATGAAAACAAAACAAAAAAGTGATAATGAGTTGCCTATTAAAGCACACGTCTACTTTGGTTATGTATTTGAATTTCTGTGGAAGATATGATTCCTACTTTTATCTTCTTTTTTTTAATATAAAATTCTCTGTTTTTTTCTTACTTCTCTTATAAGGTATGGAGGTATATTGAATGTTAAATAGTGTTGTCAACCATTCATCAATTGCTTATTTGGGCAAAGCACTAATAAAAGCTAATATCCATTTAAGTTTGATAGAGCTCTAGAAAAAGATATGCATGAAAGCAAAAGAGAATATGACGTCTGTAAGATCCTAACAATATAAAGAATTTTTGTTTGTGACTATATTACAGCTACTCATTAGTCATTACCCTCCATCATAATAGGATAAGAGGAGAAAAAAAATATTCTTTGAAAGAGAAAGCCAATTATGCCACAAGTGTTAGTAGATTGCATGTTTAAGCATTGTTATTCCTTCTTTAAAAAGTAGGAAGGCCAACAAATCTAGAGGATCGGTTAAAAATCTTGTCCAAAAGAATATGGTTGTAAGACTATTTAATTGAAGTTTTTTTCATGGGAATTTTACCATATATATATATATTAAATATGTTAAATGTGTGAAAAATAAAATAAATTATTTATAAAAATAAAATATTTTCAAGAAAATGTTTTCAATGTGTATAAAAATAATAAATGAAAATAAGCATATTTTTTACATTATTTTTAGGTTTAAACAAAATAATATAAAGTATTTAATCATTTTAATGTTGGAAATAATTAGAATAAATATCAAATAAATGTAAAAATTTATGAAAATATTTTTTAGGCATTTTTTTTATTTGGAAATAAAATAATAAAGTCAGAAATAAAATTAAAATGCAAAAATAACAAATATACAAAGAAATGGGTCAGGGGGGTGTGAAACTGAAAAAACAAGTGTTAGAAGCAAAACAAGCCAGACCAGCCCAATAACTTCATCTTCTTCCTCTGTTCAAACACAAAAACGCGCCTTCTGTGTACAAACTACTATCTCCTGATTTAGTGCTTTTTTGATAAAACTCAAAATATGAAAATTGTAGAGCATCAAACAATGAATCTAAACATATAAAAAAACTTAAGCTAACTCTCAAAGACCAGAGAGAATTTCTGTGGCCCTAATTTCTAACCTAGTTTTTTCAGAAAGTTCATGGATGAAATTCTCCAAGCACGATTAATATAAATGAAAACTAAGCACATGTATGGTTTCAGGGCTATGAATACAACATCTTTTATTCACAAACCTAAGTCTAACTATTCCTAAATAGAGAGATAGAAGTTCATGAAATACCTGTTTCAGTTGAGTTCGAGCTGGACAATGCAGCAACTTCCAATGGTGCCTGAGGTTCTTTTGAGCTTGCTTGATGTCCACTGAACCTTTTCCAATGCTTAGTTTATTTTGAGGTGGCCTGAATCGTGCTACAGAACTCAACCTGCAAAGCTTCCAAACAAAAATGGCAATGTGTGTTAATGGAGTTACAACAACTTGTGAATGGTCTGGACAACTTAGGTATATTGATTGGAATGTGTTTGAAGTGATTTTGGACAAAACGCACGAGGGGATTTGATTGTGGCTTGTGATTTGCAGAACTGACCCTGTTTTGCAAGAAAATGGAGATTTTGAGTATGAGGAGGTTTTTGTGGTGAAGAGCTCGTGCTTCTGACTTACAAGGGTATGCAAAACTTGTTTTGAATGTTGGCTTCAGTTGGTTTTATCAGATATGTGAGATATAAGCTTTTGGCCCTTTGACTTGTTTTGAAAGCAAAGTTGGAAGTGAAGTGAGATAGGCATGTACAGACTATCTCCAAGCATGCACCAACTTCTTGTACTATGCCTGAGATTGTGGAGCTTGTTTGCTGCAAAGGAAGAAAGTCCAAGGCTCAAGAAAAAGCAATTTGACATAAAGTGCTCTTTATGAGAATGGAAGTGTAACTTTATGCTCAAAATGGAAAAAAATTCAATGTATAAAGCTCTCTTGATCAGAACAATGCCAATATCCAATGTATTTGCATTCAATTTTTGAGTGTAAATTGGTTTAGAGGACTGTAATTGTGTACTAATCTAGTTTGGCCAGATTTGCAACTTGGTATGAACATGTATTGGCCATGGTTACAAAGTGAGTTTTTGCCAACTTCAAGCATTCGATTCTCCCTAACCACAAGGGTGTTTGAGGATTTCTTGGACAATTTGGAAAGCTTGCAACATGTAATATAATACATCTTTGAAATGAAACTTAAGACTCCAAGTGGAACTATGTGAAAAATGGCCAAGAAGATGGGTCAAAATCCTGCCTAAACTATGGCAAAATTTCTCTAAGTTAAAAGTTTTAGGTACACTTGTTCCAAAAATCATAACTTGAGATCCAAGCTTCTTTTGAGAAAACTTTGTGAATCAAAGTTGTAGAATTTTTGATGGACTACAACTTTCATGTTTCAAGTTATGTTTTAATCCATTTGCATCTTGGTGAAAAAATGGGACAAAGTTAGAAAAAAATAAGAAAATTTTATAACTTAGAAAATTTCTAAGTTATGAAAATTTTCCATTTTAAACCCTAATTTGCAATTTTGGGTTTCTTGATGAACAAGTTTCATAATTTGACATGTCTTGATGAAAAATGACCCTTGGCACTTGATTTTGACCAAAAAGTCAAAGTTTGACTTTTCAGTGTACAGTCAAATTTTGATCAGTTGACTGAAAAATTCACCTGTCAATCCTATGCATTTGAGATCTTTTGAACTTGTTGAATGGGTCAAGACAATTTCATTGAGTCCTTGTGTCCATGGTTGAGCTTGATTTGCCATAGGTTAGGTCAAACAGTCAAAAATTGCCTTTGTACAGTCAAAACCCTAAAAATGACCATTTTGCCCTTTTGGTGATCTGATCAAATTTCTTGTGGAATTGTGATCCAAACTTGATCAAATGGTTCATATGAGTTCATAATGTTGATGTGGGTCAAAATTCATAAGGTTTGACTGTCAATTGGCCACAATTGACTTTTTCCCCAATACAACTGATTTCTAGGTCAACTGTCCAATTGACTGGGCAAAAATTTGAATCAAGGCTTGAAACTTGGTATGGACAAACTTGTGAGTCCAACATGAAGTATGAAAGTCACTTTGGGCATTATATATCAAAACATCCCTGTGCAAACTCAAACCCTAATTTTGGTCAACAGTGCGAGGAGGTGTCTTGAGCAGAGCAAACCCTAGCTTGATCTTGAGTTCCAAGAGTCTTGTGATGAGAAATGTGGATGAAATGGGAGGGCAAATTTTGGGGTACAACACACCCAGCTTCCAGTTATACTCTGATAGGAAAGTTCTGAAAGAACAAAGAAGTTTCAACGTTTTCATCAAATTAAAGTTAAGAGACCAAACACTAAAGTTTAAAATACTCTGAAGGTCTGTAGATCCAACATCACATTAATGATAATCAATATGGGATCAAGAAAGTAACGGCTAAAACATTATGACAAAGAACAAGATTTTTGGAAAGAATATTAAACCTCAAATTATCAATCTTACAAAATAAACATATATGTCTCTAACGGATCTTTGAACCTAACTTCTATATAAAAGGGACTATGAAGATGGATCAAAATAACCCTCACGCATACGAACAAAAGAGCGCTCTAATTAATCTCATATCTTTTTATCTCTTAAGTTATTTTTCTGCTATAATTCATGTAAACATCACAGTCGTGATATAGCTTGTTAGAAGCATTTGTAAACACACTGTATAATTGTTTAGAATTGTATTTCCTTAAGAAATCGAGTTGCGGTTAGTGTAGCGGTAGAAATATTGAGACTGAGCCATTGGATTGACTTAACTCGTACATATTAAAATAAAAATCACCATCGCGCTTTATTGTTTCCAAAGGAATGGGAAAAGAGCGAATAACCCAAAAAAGAAGGGGGAGAGAATCAAGGTACGGGGGTTGGTTATGCAAAGGGAAGGTATTAGAACTATAAACATCTATGGTACTCCGCAAGTACATCTTTTAAATTTTGTGTATTTTGGCTATAAGTGTTGTATACAAAAATAGATGATGGGGATGAGAAAAGAAGTATTTTTACATTTTACACCCGCTGCGGCTGTGAACCTGTAATGACTACGTACCACCTTTTGTGCAATAGAGGATCAAGATACTTGTAGTTCACCTTTAAAAATTTTAAAACACAAGTGTGTTGGTTAATTTTAAGAGACGAGACATCATCGTCATATCCGAATGGAAAGCATACTTACTACCCACGATTATGAGAAAGGAGAATTTGCATCATCTCAAAGTGGAGGATATAGCTTGGATTTTAAAATAAAAAAAAGCCTCACTCAACATCCAAGTGGAAAATATCTCACTTTACTACATATCATAGAAGTATAGTAGCTTGCATCACTACAAGGATTGATAAAAGTCTAATCTTTTGAGAAAATTTTAAAGTAAAAAGCCAAAGTGGAAAAAATAGTTTGAATGAGATTGATTGACTTTTAGTCTTCTCACAAAAAATG